CCCCCCCCCCAAAAAAATAAATAAATTTAAGTTTGTTTTTAAAAAATATTTTCAACTTCAAAATTTTATTTTTTCACCCCAACCCTTGAACCCCCCACCCCAAAAAAAATTTAAGTTTGTTTTCAAAAATTATTTTCTACTCTAGTAAAAATAAAAGATATTTCTCAAAAATATTTTTCATTCATAAATCAAACACTAAAAATCTTTTCCGGAAAATATTTTCTACTCACCAACCAAACATGAAAAAATATGTCAAAAATCAACTTGTTTTCCAGGAAAACATTTTTTAGGAAAACATTTTCCTTCATACCAAACACACCCATAGTTTATTGTCTTTTGGCCATTATTTAGGATTTATTTTAATGAGAGTTTCTGAGGCCTTGCAATTTTCTGATGTAAGGTAGTTGCTAAGTCCTCAAAATGCCAAATATTCAATGTTTCTAAGTCATTTGTGCAACGTTTTTTTTACAGGGTATCATCTTCTTTATAGACTGTTTGGCAGGAAAAAAACAGCAAAAGTCAATTCAGTTTATCATAATTGATTAGTTAACAAGTTGATTATACATAGTCTAAAATAGGGAAAAAGTTATTGGTTTATCAAATTAACAATAGTGCCAACATAAATTAGAAGTGTTTTATAGGGTATCTAAACTTATTGTTGAGTTTAATTGAAGGCTGAAGGTCTGAAGCTATTGAATCATAGAAACTTAATAATAAGGATATAACAGTGTCGAGAAAACCTATGCTAAGGCATAAAATGGTACTCCACCGTACATCTTACTTGTCCACTGTATTAAAAATAGTTGTCCAATAATACTTATCTAATTTGAAAAATCAAGAGATAATTTAATATATTCAAAAGGTAATCTAGTAATATTACTCTGGCTATTTGTTGTTTCTTCAGATATGTGTCAAGTCGATAGTGAACAAGGTTTTATTAACAAGTCATCCATTCATCCACCCTTTTAACCCATGAAGGCTAATTAACACACAACTATTGCTTCTGCCTGAGAATCAACTATCTTATTGGTCACATCTAGCACCCCTCTAGGCTCCAGGCCAGCAGTCCCAAGCCGAGGACTCAATCATCGATCGATCTAACTCTGATACTGATGTCATAGACCAAACAAGAGAGTCCAACCCAAAAACTAGTCTATTAGGTAAGAGATCCCATTAGCTATAATTTGGCTGAAAAAAAGGACACTAGTAAGAAAGTCACCAAGAAGTTAAGAAAATTAATGGAAATTGTTCACATAAACTACCCAACAGCCTAAACTATTTTCCAAATTTGTGTAAATATATATATGCTGCCAGCAACTTCAAACAGCTCAACACAGTGTCTAAACTCCGTGATTTGCATCTTTACCTTCTGAGAAAACTAAACGACCATTTTGCAGCAAAAATGCAGGAAAGGGTGCTTGACAAGAACTGGTATGTGCTTTAAGACGAGGAATGTTTGGATGTGCACTTCGACATCGATGACACCTTAGCTCCATAGAAAGGATATTCTCGTCCTTCAAAATGGCCTTCCCATTTTGACTAACTTCATCTATTACATCAACCGAATCCCGGAAGAAGGGGGAGTTGAATGAGTTCCAATGCTTCTTATTCTTAAGATGATTGGAATCAAAGTCTTGGCTTATCACATGAAGATGCAGTTGACGCATTGAAGGAACCTACATGGAAGAAACTTCATTAAATTAAGCAGTAGGAGATGTAGAAGAAAAATGACTTCAGCATTTTGACTCGATGTGAGGGAAGAGATCAAGAAGAGAAACAAATGATTAGGGTTGAACAAAGGAGGGATCAGGTCAATGACAGACCTAGTATTTTTGACACCTAGCATAAATATATACATGAAAAGATACTAAAATTTCAATAAAAATTTAGTTTCAAACCGGGAAAATGCATAAGTACCCCCCTAGCCTATACCCAAAATCTCTGAGACACACCTAACCTTTACTAAGGTCCTATTACCTCCCTAAACTTATTTTTTTATTAATTTTCTACCCCTTTTCGGCCTACGTGGCACTATCCTTGAAAAAAATGTCAACACGCGTTGGGCCCACAAGATAGTGCCACGTAGGCTGAAAAGGGGTAAAAAATTATATATAAAATAAGTTCAGGGGGGTAATAGGACCTTAGTAAAGGTTAGGTGTGTCTTAGGGATTTCGGGCATAGGCTGGGGGGGTACTTATGCATTTTCCCCAATATATTCAAAGGCGGAATGGATTCATAGGTAAGAGTTTAAAGGTTGAACTCATTGAATTTAAATCCTGAATCCTCCTTTGGATCTGCAGGAAGCTTGTTGGCATGGCTTGAGTAAAGAACTAGGAGTAAGAATCCCTAGTAAAAAGTCCAACACCCAAAACATGCCCATGTATGTAACATACCAACCAATATAAACAAAAACTAGTTCTATTTACTCAACTTTGTCATTTGTAATATGTTGACCTGGCCTTTGTTATATGATGACCACCATTAGATGCATACCAAAACCACCTCATTTCATTTAATTTACCAGTTTCTCTAGCGGACTGGTGCCTGGTGAACTTCTCATCCACGCAAAGCTTAACAAATTTTGCAAATATCTTTATAATAGAGATAATGTAATGATAAGTTACAGAACACCCGAGAGAACAACCCACCTCCCAAAAAAATAGAAAAAGAAAAAGAGAAGGTTGAGGATAAAACCAAAAAGAAAAAAATAAGAGAGAAATATCAAAAACACCCCTAAACTTGGCGCAAATTATTACTTTCATCCCCAAACTATTGACAACCTTAAATAGAATCCCCAGGAAAGTGTAAGCACCTGTATACAATTTCGATTTTTCTTTCTATATGTAGATATGGCTTTCTGGATATTATTAGAAATGCCCAAAAAAAAATCATATTCGTAAAGCAGAAACATAAACGCACTCCTATGAACGTGGAAAATATACCGGATTCAATGGAATATACCAAGCTAAATCGAATCGCTCGAAAGCACGGGATGGGCCTTCCCTTCCTTTACGTCATCCACCACCCTGTCCTATCCACTCTCCCAAAATCTCAACTCGTAATTTGAAGAAACACTCCTCTACTTGACTAACTAAACTTAGATACACCCCCGATACACTCCCGATATGCAACACGACATAGCAAGTGGTCTCAAACTCTTGTAGGAGCATAAGTTCTTAATAAAAATCAAGAGAAGTGTTGAAAACACCCCTAAACTTGACGAGAATTTAGGGCTGTATTTCACTAATGTTTCAAGATCGAGAGTGTATTTAGCTTTAATTAGTCAAGTAAAGGGGTGTTTTTAAGGCTGTCAATAGTACATGGATGAACCTAATAATTTGCGCCAAGTTTAGGGATGTTTTTGATACTTCTCTCAAGAATAAATAAATAAATAAATAAGGGGGCACTCTTATGTACTTCCTTTCATATCTCTTAATGACTCTTAAAACACATAATATTTGGAGATGGTTCAACGTACCGAATGATATCCAAGGCGGAATGTCAATGAATTGTTTTCAGATAGAAGCTTTTCTGCCCACTTCAGGCCAACACTGTGCATTGTCTTTAATAAAGTGAGGTGCTCCTTCTTAGCATCTTCAAGACGGTCAAGACCTTCAACACGTGCCAACACTAAGAGGTGTTTCTGAGCCTGCACGAGAAAATAAACCATACATGTATTTTTCAAATTCACAAGGGAGAAGGGCCAAAAAGCAGGGTGAGGGAGAGAGGAGGATAACCTTTGGATAAAGATCATTCAGTACTACAACATCATCTGACATCTCTATTATATTCTTATGCCTCTCAGGATGCATTGCAGTGTCATAAAGAGCCTGAGCCCATGAGCCCCATGCCTTTCTTGACTGTCCACCAGTGTTTCCATCATCAGAACTTCCAACATTGGGTCCGAGTTCTTTCACAAAGCTTTTAAACTTCTTGTTCATGTCTGTTTCACAGACAGCTTCACGCTTGGCTTTCTGATCACCACTTCTAGAACCTTGCTCTAGTTGAACTTCTCCTTTAAATTCTTTTTCAAACTTATCCTTACATGGCTCTTCTTGAGTCCTAACTATAGATGCAAAACCATCAAAGAGTGATGAGTAAGCTTCTCGGAGTATTTTACAGCCCTTGACGTAGTCATTGTCGAGACAGTTTGGTCTTTGGGGATTCATATTTGGTCCAAGTACATGTATGACATGAGTAACTCCTTCCCCACTAAACAAGGGAGAAAAGGAAGGAAGAGGGACAACAATAGCTTTTCCAGAACTAAGGGATTCAGCTTTAGCTTTGGTTGCAGTTTCAAGGGTGGGACCCGCGGCACTAAATATAGCAGCATTTACGCCTCCACCTCCTGGTTTTAGTCGCCTGAACAAAGTTGGCTTTTAGATGGCACACAAAAAGTTAACAACACATAATATCCTTACAATATAACACTTAAGGTGAAAACACAGAAAGAATGTGTAGACAGAATATTGTATTACAACGAGTGGTGAGATTACAATTGATTTGTATCAAGGACCTGCTGGACATTGTACAAAAAATGAGATATCTGCAAGATATTCTAGCACCCTGCTATTTTAATGGATTGCATGCACACAACTGATCATCAAAACCACGTGTGTGTACCAAATTGACTCATGAATCATGAAAGTAAATTTCTGCTGGATATATAAATCCCCATATTGCACCTCTGGCAAAAGAAGGTTATTTCAGGCACAAGGCTACACATTGTTCCATTTGTTTAACATGCCATCAACCAACCTTAAAACTGTTTATCGTTTGAAAAATAGCACTTTATCTCATTGAAATTTTTGGCATACTTCCTTTTGCATCCAAACTTATAGGTAAAATTTGGAGCCTCCTGAAAAGATGGTGTACAAATGAATTTAATGTACTACCACTTGATCTCCCTCACAACTTTCTGGTCACTAAACAAAATCTCAACAGCAGAACATTCAAACAGAAAGAAAAAGGGAAGTTTCTGGTAAGCCTTTTGCATTATTATATCAAGTTTCTCATTTTCACTAGCACAGTATCATGGCGCAGAGAATTACCAGTTAGTGGCGTTAGCAATCACGTTGCAGTGCAAACCTCCTTCTGAGTAAAGTTTAGTTATATTCCCTACAAACGTAAAGAACTTTTTGGAGTTGATGTTCTTCTCTGCAGCTTTAGCCCTGACAAGGGACAGTATTTTTGAATTCTGAGATAAATCCACCAAGACAAGCCTAGCACTCCCAAGCTTATTTACATATTCCTCAACCTTTTCAACTATTATATCCGATGCTTTTTCAAGATTGAAATGGAAATCTGCTGTAGAAATAGATGGAAATGCAAGTGTGGGGGCATTTTCTAAAGAAATGCTACAGCCAACAGATGCCATTTTCGGTTCTTCACAGCTTTCAAGTACTTGGTTGGAGTCCTTTTCCTTGGTGGCATGAGATTGAGTATCCTCCAGAGAGACATTCATCATAGTATCAGAACATCCAGGAGGATCCTTTTTTTTGAGGAACTTCATTATACCAAGTTGGACTTTGGCATCTGACTTCTTCTGGCCAAAAAAACCTGGTGGAAGTTTATCTGATGGACCAAGTGCAGTGTACGTATTGATAGCAGCTTGAACATCTTTTTCATCTTGGCAAACTGTAATTCGATCATATCCTTCATTCAGCTTAGGCAGCTCTTTCTTTTGCAGCATCCTATTCACAACTGCAGCAGCTTTCCCACCTTGCAAGTTCCCTTCATGCCCTGTCCTCTTAACCGACCGAGAAATACAAAGCTTAGCTGGAAGATCAAGTGCCACAGCGTGTTTCTCAACTTCTGGACCAACAAGCTTCACAAAGTCGGCCCGCTGTTCTCTATCTAAGTTGCATCTATCTATAAATACACTTTTTCCTTCCTTCAGCGCACTAGCTGCACCTGTCAAACATTGCTTCTTTGTCCCAGCCTTACCATTCCCAATGGTATCCTACAATAGCAAATAGAACTGGTCAATTTACCAAAGTGAGACCGTAACATCACAATAGCTGGCTGTTGGCATAGCATTCCATTTAATAATCTGCGAGGTGTAGTCGCAGTACTATAAACTCCACAGAAGACAAACATCAACATGCTTCAAATTCAAATAATCAACAAAGGAAAACATTCTCAGTAAGAAAAACATAACACATGTGAAATTGCAAAGCTAAGCTACTCTAGCCAGACTGAACAACTACAAAACAACACTTCATTTCTAGTACAAGTGATGAGGGACATTGTACAACAACCGGCAAAAATACCCTCTTTCAGCCCAAAAACAATGACAGACTTCAGAGAATAAGGATCAACTCATTTAATTTCCCCATGAATTCGGGCATAATTTCTTTTCTTTTTTTTAAGAAAATGATATTTCTACATACATAGTAATTCATTCAGGCATTCCATCAAACAGATAGTCTACAAACATACAAAGAAACAAAAAAAACAAACAAGGTGAGAAAAATGAAAATTGGAACTAACCTGGCAAATACGAACCCAAGGCCTGGTTGAGACTCGCATTACAAGGTCACAAAATGTGGACTTACCACTTCCTGGAGCTCCTATCAGTATTACCATTACAGGTTTCCCTTTGCCTTCTTCTTTCGCTTCATCCTTCCCTATTTTCAACAAATTAATTAAGTCTCAATCCTAAATTAGTCGGGGTCAGTCATCTATATACCCATTTCTCAAATATAGAGGATTCGTATACAGAAAAAAGAAGAATGAATGAACAAGTTGAGCAATAATTTACCTGCAGAATCAATCTCCATTGCTTCCATGGTGTTATCAAAAGATGCAAAGGTCAGTGAGTTAGTCGCACTAAATGAGGAATTGGATCGGTTGACATGCCCATGGGAGGACTTCGGAGCTTCTCAGGTTCGAATCTTACACGAAACACTTCCAAAGGGTTGAAAAAAGAAAAACAAAAATGACAACGGGTGTGTTTGGTATAATGGAAAATATTTTCCCTTAAAATTGATACTCCCTCATTCCATTTTATGTGACATCGATTTGATATGGTGTTAAAAATAAAAAAGAAAAACTTTTAAAATTTGTGGTATGAAATAATTTTTAGATATTTGTGTGGCTTAAATCCATTTCAGTAAGGATAAAATGAATATTTTAAAGTTAAATTATTTCTAATTATGGTAAGATGACATTCTTTTGTAACCGGCTAAAAAGAAAAGGTTGTCACATAAATGCATAATACATAAGCATGATCCTTAACTTGGTGTCAGCTGACAACTAGGACCTTTAACTTTGAGTGTGCACAAATATACTTGAACTTGTATAAAATTGAACAAATAGAAACATTCGTCATACATGAAAATTTTATGTCCTACGTGGCATCCTACATGTATTATGCCATGTAGGACATGTGTGTCTACTTGTTTAATTTTATACAAGTTTAAGTGTCTATTTGTACACACTCAAAATTGGAGGACATAGTTATCCGTTGAAATCAAGTTAAAGATCATGTTTATGTATTACGTATAAAATGGGAATGAAACATATATAATATATATAGTATGAAATACAAATTGATTTACTTCATTACTATTTTGTCCATTACTTTTTAATGGGTGTAGTGAATGAAAGTCAGGTGTACAAATGAATATGAATAGTCAAGATTATTTTTCTTGTTATACTTACACGAAATGCAGTTTAATTAATTAATAACTTTTCTAAGATAATATTTTTCTCCGATCCCGACTTGATGATGGGTCATGGGATACATATTTCAATTTAATTTTGAGGTTCGAAATAAGAGTCACCTAGTTGATAGTGGTAAAAACTAAAAATATTTTTGCCAGTTTCTAATATTCCAAAATCAAACAGAAGACATTTTAATTCTATTTCTATTAAAGAAAAAAAAAAAAAACTCAAGAACATTTTTTTAATTATTATTTTCTGTTTAATTTATTGTATAATAATTAATAATAAATCAGATCTAAGTAGAAAGGGTGAAGTACTCCTTATAAATTTCCGCTGCGAAAAGAGTTTCAAAGAGCACGGTCAGATGTGGTGCAGCAGATGAGATTGCTACTATTTTAATTAGAGGTCTTGAATTCGAGCTTTGAATATAAAAAATAATTGATAGGAAGGCTTTTCCCCGAATGGGACCCTACAAAGGCGCAATTTCAAATGAATTGAAATCCAATATGAATACCGATCACCGAATAGTTTAAAAAAAAGAAAGAATTTCAAAGGAAAAGCCATTAATAGATGATAAGCTAACAAAAGCAAGCGACAAAATACAATACTTAGTAGTCGTTTGGTACAAACATTGATAACGCAGGAATTAGTAACACGTGAATTAGCCCGTGGAATACAATCCCTCCAGGAAAACTAGGAACTCAGAAAATACATTACAACATATAGTGGCAACTCCCAATATTCTTTGAACAGCTAGAGATTTTATTGTGGATTTGGTGGACGACTAATAGCTGCTGAGACCCTAGAACCCCATTCAAGTAGCTCTTTGCTAGTGTCATCTTTGTGGACAATCACTTCAATGAAACACAAACAATCTATCTTTGCTCCATTTGCTGTTTCAATTGCTTCCACCAACTCCTCTTCACAATAAACCTGCATACAATAGAGACGTTCCGTTACGAATCCTTTCATTCAACATTCGGAGTTAAAAAACAAAGGTGATGATTGAAAATTTGAACATCCACTCACCTTAGTTGTCCAACATTTTCCTTCTCCGTTATGGATTGCATCGACTAATCCTGTGTAGTTCCAATTCTTGATCACATTGTAAGGTCCATCATGGATCTCAACTCCAATTCTATAACCAACATTGTTCATCAAGAAGATAATGGTCCTTTGCCCACACCTTAGCATTGTTGAAATATCCTGAGCGGTCACCTGCAAGTATTTCATTTGACATAAAAGTTGGATTAGACACACCGGGGAATGCCAACAATTCATTCTCCTCTATTCAATTCAAATGGAGTCCTTTTAATTACCTGAAAGCTACCATCACCGATGCACGCAATCACACGTTTGTCTGGTGCAGCTTGTGCGTAACCAAGAGATGCACCAACAGACCAACCGATAGATCCGTACTGCATTTGGAACTCATACCTAAAGGACAATCAAGAACGACAGAACTCATTAATATGATTTGTCATGCATCCTTAATGCATACCAAAATGAGAGCAATTTGCATTGATTTGTTCTGTGCTCACCCGCATCCTTGTGGCAATTTCAGTTTCTGACAGTTGAACCACGAGTCCCCCGTTTCAGCAATCACAGCACTCTCACCAGACAACATATTCTGAATGTGCTGAAATAGAACATTAACTCTTAATGCCTCCTTAGGCTCGCATTTGAGAGGTTGTCCATCAAGAGCATAAATCCTATGATAATTCTCATAAGAAGTTGGATTATGCTTCAATCTCTTTGCTAATGCAGCAAGGAAATCCCTCATCAGAACACAACCAAATGCAGGTCCGTTCCCAATTGTCACACGACCAGGCTGGACAATGATCGCTTTCTCTTTCTTGAGAAGAAGAGAATAACCAACAGTGCTATAGTCGTTAAAAATTGGTCCAGCAAACAAGTATGCATCAGCAGATTCAACGATTTCAGCACAGAAGGCCGTGCTCACTGCACCCCAGTAAGTTCCTAAAAAATGTGGTTGGTGTTCCGGAACCAAACCTTTAGCGGCTGGCATCACTGCCACCGCATAACCACAGCTGTCAGCCAACTCAACAAAAGCATCACATGCCTTTGCAACCCGCATATTCTGCCCTGCAACAAGCACTGGCTTTACTGCTCTGTTCAAAAACTCAGCCGCTGCTTCCACTGCCGCTTCCAAACCCATCAGATTACTTAATCTGGAAGCATTATACATAATATATCAACCTAGTATAAAAGTGTACAATAGTATATAAAAGGTTTATACACAAATATGGGATAAACCGAGTAACAAACTCAATCTATGAGCTACATGACGTAGACATAGAGCGGAATTTTCCTAATATTTTACCTGGGAGAGAGGGAAAATGGAACTGGTTCACGACGGAATGTAGGGTGTGGAATCCCGGGTAAATTACATCCTACGCTAATATAAACCGGTTTACTCTCCTTCAAACATGTGGAAATTGCAGTGTCAATCAGTTCATGAGCATCGTCTAAATTATTTAACACAGCCTGAAAAACCCAAAAAAGATATATTCTAAAATCAAGCTTCAGGGTCATTAGTTCGAAGGATTCTATTATGTAAAATCATAGGATGAAGGATTCTATTAGTTCCATAATCATTCGAATTAGGTCCACCAACAATACAAATCAAAGGTAAATTTTCACTATAAGCACCAGCAATTGCATTAATAACACTTAATCCACCGACGGTGAACGTAACTACACAAGCCCCAATACCCCGTGCCCTAGCATATCCATCAGCAGCATAACCGGCATTTAGCTCATTACAACAACCTATAAGGTTAAGTTCAGGTTCAGCTACGAGATGATCGAGAAGCGTCAAGTTAAAGTCACCGGGAACGGAGAAAACATCGGTTACTCCGATTTGGACTAAACGGCGGGCGAGATGACGGCCGAGTGTTGATTCAGGGGAATTGAAAGGAACAGTGGAGTTTTGGATTGCACCAATCATGAAGTCCATTATTTCTTCGCCTTTTTGACTATAAATCAAAATTCTCGTTGAGATAGGTGAATATACTTCGAGATTATATATGATGATGAATAATAGTATGAAGGTTTGTTTTGGTTTGGTTTGGTTTTGTGAGTAAGAGAAATGGAGGGAGTTGAGAAGATTTATATAGTGTTTGGATAAAGAAGAAACAGGGGGCAGATTCAAATTTATTCAAGGTACGTAACACAACTATGATATATGGCTAAGTAGGTTGACAAAATGCTGACTACAATTGTGTAGAATTTGAATATTCAAATTATATTTGCCTTTGATCGCTGAGACGTCAAGTCAAATGATGCCACATAAAATGAGATATAGGGAGTAAGAAATTAGAAAGATAGGCGAACGACTTGACCATAGTATAGGTCAGATGTTTCCGTGAGCAGTAAACAATAGATCCCCCCTTGTTTTGGGAAAGCTGGTGGCCGTATGTGAATTCTTTCAAGGCAAAGGGCGGCCTGATTCGACATTGTTGTTTACCCTGATCCGGTCGAGGTGATTTTTGTTCACCAACATGTAGGTGTTCTAAATTCCTATGATCGAATCTTGTTGGCCCCTTTGAACCTGTGAAAAGTGGTAAATGTCGACTAACGGCCATTTCATGCTAAAACGCATTTTTAGCAAAGTAAAGCTGAGTTTAGCATTCCTTTGTCCTGGTAGGTTACAACTTACATGTTATAGGTTGAGTTGGTGATTAACCAAAATTACTTAATTACCAATATAAAAAGAAGTTAAAAGCAACAGCTAAAGTGGGAAGTAAGGAGTATATCAAATTAATTTTTTTATTTAGTTATTAATATTGTTATCTAATTTGTATTACTAAAACATTTAGAACAATGACTTTGCAGAAATTCGTAAGAAACAACAAAATTTTAAGTATGTTATAAAAAAAAGAGTCTAAAATCACTATTGAAAATAGAATTTGTAACAAAACAAAAATAATATCGAAAAAAAATAATCAAGTCCACTGAATGCACAATGTGTCCTTAAGGAAATTATTGTCATTAAGTATTCGAGGTTAAAGGAATATATCCTGCCAGGTAGAATGATTCTACTAACCAATATATTGGTAAATACCAAAAATAATGTTGTCAACGAACCATTTAATGGAAGCAAAGTACACTAAATTTATTTGTGCAGAAGAAGAAGATTAAAAATATTCTTAGTTGAAAGTATGAGGAATCAAAAGTTTAACTTTATAGTTCGAAGTATTGTTTTCAAAAGTCTGCAACCTTCCAGAATAGTCACTTAAGTACGGTTGTTTCTG